GTGATGGGGACGTGGAGGCGATGGGGAGGGGACGGGCTGGCGACGGGGGAGGCGACGGGAAAGGGGGGGGGGGGAGGTGGCGGGGAGGCGACGGGGAAAAGGGGTAAGGGAGGCGACGGGAATTGGGGACGGGGAGGCGACGCTAAATAGGGACGGGGAGGCGACGCGAAAGAGGACAGGTAGGTGGTGCGAATTGGGGAAGGCGAGGCGACGGGAAAAAAAACGGGATGGGGAGGCGATCGAGCGGGCCCACCGGGGGGGGGGGGGCTTTCGAGCACGTGCGCGTGCGGCCTTGGCACGCGTGCGCGCGTGCGCGCCTAGGTCGCGACGATGGGGGGGAAAGAAGGGGGACCTGCGGGGGTCGTTCTAGGGCGATTGTGTGGGCCCACGAGGGCCTTACTTGCGGAGACAACTAATTCAACGAGAGCTAGATAACGGGCTAGGCACGGGGCTAGAATGATCTCTGCGTTCGTTCACTTAGTCGTTTCCTTGTGCGCACACTAGTTGCTAGTTCACGGGAGAAATTGGCAAGAGTTCCACTAGGAAAACATGACAACAGTGGTGCACAATGGCAAGGCAACAATGACTACATCATATGCTAGCATGCAAGCCAGTCGACTACCAGCGCAGCACGGTCGACCGCGTTCCAGCACGACAAGGTGGACCGCGCTCCAGCAGTGCAATGTCGCGGTCTGCCAACGCTACAGGTCGACGGCGTGCCAGCACTGCGGTAGGTCGGCGGCACAGCGTTGCATCTGCAGGACAACAGCGCACCCGCTTCACATGTGCTCGTAGCCGGTTGGTGCACTGTGCCTCGTCACTCGCACAGCGCAGACGCCACGCGGACCACGGCCCACGTCCGCACCTAACCCTCCAAGTCGACCTCGGGATACCATCAACGAGGTCGGCCTCGCCAGGACTACCTGGGCAACTGTCGTGCACCTCCGTAGAACTTCGTCACCCGGGTAACTTGGTCGACCTGGAAACCACCAGGTCGGCGTCGACTGTTTTGGGGAAAGTCAACCGAATATTTTATGTGCCCGTCAACAGCCCAAGTCGACGACCACCAACCGTCTTCACATAGTCGGCCACTCTCAAGTCGGCGTCATCAAGTCGACGCCTCCGACATCGACCTCGCCACGTCGACCACCCAAACTCGGCGCCCTCCAAGTTGGCGCCCCACAGCTCCCCTGTCCAAGTCGACGTCGGAGCCTCCCAAGGTCGGCGTCCACCCTCGCCGACCACCAGGATTGTTCAACCGCCGACTCCCCATCGTTGGCAGTGTGGCAGTGGCCTCAAGCAGATCGACCAGCTTGTCAACCTACACACCAAAGTCAGTGTCGCCCACTGCAGCTTATCGGTTGCGCTCCCCGCACACCCGACAACAAAGTCGGCTCCGCCTTAGCGAGGACGGGGCCAACAACAACTCCCGTTGACATTACTATTCAAGGCGCGTTCGAGCAGCAGGATCCTGGGGACGGGCCGCTACGGGCAACGAGTTACTAATGGGCGGGTACAGGGCGGTGGGCCCATGGGAACTAACAAGCTCTGAAACTATCGGCCGCCTGGAGCACGACCGGTGTTCAAGACGCACTTTGACGTAAGGGCGTGTCTCCATTTTGCCACTTTCTGTGCCGGACGGTCCGAATAGTGGACCGTCCGGGTTGCGCAAGGTTACCAATTTCGTCTCAAATCTTAATGTCTTTCGCATACGCCTTTGCAATGTCGCCAAGAACCCAGACGGTAGTGACACTATTTTGCCACTTCAACAATACGAACTGTCAAATTCGGATTGTCCGAAACGCATGCGGACTGTCCGACAGTCCTGGCGCAAGATTGGCGCGCAAAATTTAATATAAATATCATAACCGAGTCGCCTTGTCAAATTTCGAAATCAAGCCACGAAGTGCATACGCGAATGTTGCGACATGCGTGACTTGGGTTACGATAGAAACAGTGCTTTTAGCGATGCTACACTTCTAGCGAATTGGTAGAAGGGGGAAAAGGTTGTGAGAATAAGCGAACAGGAATGAATGAACTAGCAGTGAAATGAGTACAAGTAGGAAACCCTAGAATTGTGTACCCCCTATAGGCTAACCCACTGTAGCCTACACAAGCATAACATATATAATGTTTGACACACCCCCATAGGCAAAGTGGGGGAGAACAAGGGGTCACAAGACCAGTCAAGCAAAGCAAAGCAAGCTCAGGGTGGATCACAAAGTCACCACACAGTCCGAGCACAAGAGCAGGGCCAGAGGCCAGTTCACATGCAGGAGTACAGACATATATATAAAACTAGACAAGCAAGAGCAGGTATATATATATGTCACAGTACAAGTGAAGTCAAGAGGAGAGCAAGTGAGGCAAGACAGGCACAAGACCCAGCTCGGTGCAAAAGCGCTGATGGTCACAAGGCGCGAGTGCCTTGGTGAACACATCAGCAGTGTTGGCCTCAGAGGCCACGTACGCAAGTCGCAACTGACCACGCTGCTGCAGCTCACGAGCAAGGAAGTAGCGGAGAGCAATGTGCTTCGTTCTGTGCTCCAAGCGCTGCTCTCGACACAAGGCCAGCATGGCCTTGTTGTCTACGTACAGCACTGGAGGAGAACGAGGCGGCTCTCCAAGGTCAGTCAGCAGGTAGGTGAGCCAGCGAAGCTCCTGTGCAGCCATGGCCCCGGCGTAGATCTCAGCCTCACAACTGGAGCCGAGAACCGAAGACGAGCGAGTAGACCGCCACGAGACAGAGCCGGAACCAAGGCTGAAGGTGTAACCCTGTGACGACCGCTGCGTAGCCTGGTCGTCAGCCCAAGAAGCGTCCGCGTGGCCGGTAAGGACCACTGGACTCCGCCCTCCAAGCACAAGCCCCATGCCCGACGTACTGCACAGGTAGCGCAATACCCTCTTCGCTGCAGCCATGTGCTCTGGTCTGTGTCTCCCAGGAGCAACATAGCGTGCAAGAATGCTCACAGGATATGCAAGGTCAGGTCGTGTGCAGGTCATCAGGTACATGAGGCAGCCAACAAGCTCTGCATACGGACCACTCGACTCTACGGACTCATCCGAAGGCAGAGCTGAGAGTGAGTGGCGAGTAGGCAGAGGAGTGGCCTGAGGCGAGGAGTACGTGAAGCCGAAGCGCTGAAGGACCTGCTGCACCATGTGTGACTGAGTCAAGGTAATGGTGCGGCGTGCTCTGTCCCGAGTGATCTGCAAGCCAAGGTAGCTGCGCAGTTCACCCAGGTCTGTGCACGTGTGTCTCTTCAGCAGTTCGGACTTCACGTAGGCGAGTCCAGCAGTGTCCGCTGTGGCAAAGACCAAGTCGTCGACGTACACGAGGATGTAGAACGGCGGCAGTGAAGTGTCGGTGCGCAGAAACAGCGACGGGTCAGCAGTAGAAGGAGCAAACCCAAGAGCCGCAAGCGTAGTCCTCAGTGTGTCGTGCCACTCACGCGGTGCCTGGCGGAGACCGTAGACTGGCCGTCGGAGGCTCCACTGGGTGCCAGGAGGGAAAGTCCCAGTGAAGCCAGGTGGACGGCGCAGCCAGATCTCCTCGTGCAGGCTACCCTGCAGGAACGCAGTGCTGAAGTCGAGAGAGTGAAGCTCGTAGTCGCGCTGAGCGGCTATGTGCAGCAGCACCCGAAGAGTGGTCATCTTCGGGGTGGGAGAGAAGGTCTGAAAGTAGTCAACTCCCTGCCGCTGACTGAAGCCACGAGCAACGTACCGCGCCTTGAAGACAGGTGGAGAGCCCGGCGGCCGCTTCACCCGGAAGATCCACATGCCACTGACGATGTTCACCCCAGGAGGGGGAACTGCATCAACGTAGGTGCCTGTGGACTTCCAGGAAGCCATCTCTGCATCCATAGCTGCCTGCCACTGAGAGGAGTAGGGACCCTCTACGGCCTCCGCGTAAGAACGCGGAGTCGGGATGTCTAGTGCATCCGGGTCTCCCTCAGGGGCAAGCAGTACAGACGCGAGATGAGGTGAAGCAGCCGCTAGACACTGTAACTCCTCCTGTCTGTCCTCTAGGACGTCCGTGCCAAGAGCACACTCACCCCCGACGGACGGAGGACAGACAGACGCAGACTCAGCAACAAGACCAGCAGCGTAGTCGAGACGACAGCGAGCAGCAAAGTCAACGAGCTCAGCGACTAGAGCAGACGCAGCAGTGGACTCAAAAGAGGGGTCAGTGACGACAGTAGCAAGCAGACGCGTGACAGTAGGACTGGCAGCGCGAAGAGAGTCCGACTCAGGGTCGGCAAGCGCAGGAAGAGAGGACTCAGGAGGCGAAGGCAAAGGGGCACGCAGAGGAGCAGTGGACGGACGCAGAGACATCCGGTGCGTGCCAGGGACAGGAGGAGGACGCTGACGCGAACCGCGACCACTAGCGCGAGCAGCACGAACAGGCGACGCAGGACGAGACGCAGGCTCACGACGCTCAGCAAGACCTCCAGTAGGACCAGTGTAAGGAGAGGGAGCAGGAAGAGGAGAGGAAGGCTCCAACAGTGACTGCGACTGGACAGGCTGTGGACACTCTACCGAAGGAGAAAGACCAAGAACCTGCTCTAGGAGCGGAACGAAGTACGGCCGAGGCCGCGCGGCAGCTCCAGACTCAGCAGGGACAGCACCAGCACCCTCAGCGACAGCACGAGCGCCACCCACACCTCCAGCGGCAGGACCAACAGCAGTAGGCTCAGCACCAACGCCCTCAGTACCTCCAGCTCCAGGAGGACCCGCAGGTCCAGCAGCTCCGGGTGTTGGGTGCAAATTCACATTGCACGACATCCTGCCGTCTGTTTGTACGAGTATGCGTGTGCGAATGCATTTGCGTGTGAATGGTATGTTTGTTTGCTTTCGCAATTTTCGCTTGAAGCATTTGCAGGTACTCGCAAAATGTGCGCTTCGGCATAACATTGTACGCGCTATGAACAGTACAAGCAGAAAGGACGAGCTCGCAAAGGAACCCAAGATGGAAGCTTTGCGGTTCGGCTTACTTGATTGCGCAGATTCAGTTCTATCCAACTCGAAATTGTACTGTTTTGTTTGGTTGACTATAGTGTAGCAGGGCAGGCACTATAGGGGTACAATTTAGGTGAAGGTTGGATGTTGTTTGTCTGTATCTGCATGCTACAGGGCCAGGGGAAACCAGCGGAACCAGCATTTGGCTGGTTGGGCAAAGACAAAACAGGTTCTGTTTTTAGGACCTGAACCTGGTTGTTGTTTTCCCAGGTTGGAAAAACAGAACCAGAGGTTGTTCACCAACCTATCACCTGCTATTTTGTTCAGCCAGGTTGGTTCTGTTGCTTGGAATTATTTGGGATCATCCCTGGTTGTTCCCAGGTTGATTCCCAAGGTCCTTGCTAGCTAGAGCTATTTATTCCTTCTCTGTTTGTACCTGAATATAGTGAAATTGATTCAAGCGAATTCCTTCCTTGCTGGAATTTCTTTTCTACGCGGTGCGATGGCGGAACGCTACCCGAGTCAACGCTAGTACGCTAGCACTCCAACGCTAGGCTAACGCTGTCCGAGCCATAACTTCGTAATGGCAGAACTTTTCGCGAGGCAACTTGGCTTATTTTAAAGCTCTTAGAGTGAGCTTCGATATAGGAAATTCTCAGCTTAATCCGATCGACGGTCTGCACGATACGCTGCGCGACGTTCAAGGTACTCTTGCTGTTTTGACTAAGTCCCTCTTGATCCCTCTCTCTACAAACTCGGACCCGAGGATAGGGGCTGGTCTTGTACCAGGCACCCAAGGACCCTTGGAGGTGACCCCGAGGAGAGGTTTTAAGTGTGATAAAGTCTTAATAGCTTGAGTTTATTAGGCCCTTACACCAACAAGCTGGTATCAGAGCTGCGTTATAGTGATCCTCGATATAGGTAGCTATGGCGGGCAACACCTCGGCGGTAGCTGGTGAAACTTCAGCCCAAGATCGTAGCGGCAGCCATGATTCTGGTGTTTCTGCGCCAAGGGGAGCGCGAACAAGCCAGGGCTCGCTGATCAAGGAGGTGCTGAAAAACTTCACCGTCGAGAAGTTCAATGGTGAGGGCTATGATGATTGGGCCTGGAAAATGCAACTTTATTTCCGTCAAATCGGATTGCTGAAACTAATGATTGGGGAGGAGCCTAGACCGAGTGACCCCGCCCTTCAGGAAGATTGGGACGAGCGCGCCTCGGCTGGCTACTACTTGATGTCGCAGAGTTTGGAGCTGAACCAGCGTCACCACGTCATGCACCTGCTGCCGGAGGCTGAGTGTGGTCCGAAGGCGTGGACGGTGTTGAAGGAGCTGCACGCCCCGACCTCCGTTGTTGCAACATTGATGCTGGAGAGGGAGCTGTCCGCGTTGCGCCTGAGCGAGGGAGAGCCGGTGCAACCTGTCCTGGACAAATTGCGCGACCTCTACGCGAAGTTGGCGACCGCGGGAATCACCTACCCGGAGCAAACAAAGTGCTTGAAGTTGCTCTCGCTGCTGCCGGAATCGTGGCTTCAATTTACGAGCGGATTGAGCCTGCCGCAGAACCAGAGCTTGTGGACGCTCGAGTGGGTGCGGACGAAGATTCTGGAGGAGGACTTCCGTCGCCGCCAACTGAGGGGTGGAGACGACGGCAGCAGCGGCTACGGGATGCAAGGGAGCCGACGTGGCAAAGGACGTGGCTTCGGTGGTGCTGGACGCGGTGCAAAGAAAGACGACGACTCCAACGACCAACAAGGA